CAGATGGATGCTGTGAAGCGCCGTTGTGTCAGGTGGATGCTGTGAAGCGCCAGTGCACTTCCAATATAGGGTGCTGTGATAGCATCGATCAATGAATGACCAGATGGGTGTTTTACAGTCTGGGATGCCCGTGTTGCGTTGTTGCAGTGTTGCCCTGCGCTTTTTTTTTGTGGGTTTTGGCCTGGGAGTCCGCCTAAGGGCCTAGTAGGCGGACTGCCGGCTCACCAAGGACTTCTGGGGTTCCTGTCAAGAACAGCGCTGGTGGGGTCGCCAGATTGCCAAAGGTAGCACGTGTAAACACCTTCAATTTTTGGGCATATGTTGGCAGTAGTATTCAGTGTATCCCTGGATGTCTTATTGCTTTCAGTCAGCTGGATCTTTGAATTGTTGTCTCACTCAGTCGTCTTGAGGGGGCTCATTGGGTTCCGCTTTGGGTTCCGCTGGCAATGGCGGCTGATTTGGACCTGCCTCCAAATGATGAGGGGCTGAGTCTCACTGACTTTTGTCTTGGTGACGTGTGTGCACCTCGGGCACCACCTGCGTCTTCAGCTGCGTCTTCAGTGGCGCCTGCGGCGCCAGCCTTGGAGCTACCTCCTAACGTGGACTGTGAAGATGACAAAAGCTCGAGGCATGTTTGGGTAGCAATACTATTGTGTTCTGTTGAACTCAAACGTTTGTGAGTTGAAAGACGTTGAGAAGGGTTCCCCGAAAATTGTAAGAATAATAATCATGAAGATCTGCTTGGAGGTGGATGGAACAGGATTGCAGATGCAACCTGGCATGCTTGCAAAAGTTCGCCTCTGACCCAGACGTTTGCGAGAAGGTCATGGCCTTCAAGAAGAAGCTGTCTGACATGACCACTCAGGAGCGTGATCGGTTTCTCTACACCATGCTCTGGGACATGCACAAGACAAAGGATGGAAAGTTTGCACGACTGACTTCCTGGCAGTTTGTGGGAGTCCGTGTCTGCCAAGCAGCTTTCCTGGCCTTCCTAGGCGTCTCCAAGACTCACTATGCCAGGAGGGTGGAATCCATCTTGGAAGGTTCCATTGAGGCCCCAATGGATGGTCGTTCCATTCGCACAATCAGGGACCGGCCAGCTATGATGAATGCAGACGCCTTCTTCAATTTCTTGTATTTGCACGTGGCCGAGCCACTTGCTGAAGGCTGGGGGCATGAGACAGAGTGGGATGCTCTTGAGGCTGATGACCTCGAGGGTGGGACCTTCGATGTGATCCCAAAAGAATTGCTCGAAAAGGGTGAGGCTGTGAACCCATTCGATGAATGGGTGTTGGGTAAAGGTGACAGCGCCAAGCCTGCGAACCCTGACATTGCTTCAGCGGTGCCTGCTGCGGCCAGAGATCAAAGATGGCTGAACCACTGTCAGATTTCTGACCTGTACGCCCAGTATGAGCTGTGGGTGTCAGGTGCTGGTGGGCAGCCTTGTTCTTTGTCGGTATTCCAAAAAGCTTGGAAAAAGACCTGGTGCGGCATTCTGCGCATACGCCGAATGAGCCAACATAGCCGTTGTGAAGATTGCTCCAAGTATTGTGAATTCCGCAAGGCAGCGACCGCTGCCACACGACCTGCGATTGAAGAAGCCTATAGCAAGCACTTGAAGGTCGTCTTCATGGACAGAGAGATTTCTGCCAGATTGGCCCTGCACAGCGAATTGAGCACTTCGAATGATGTCAGCATTGCCCCGTCCATGGCCACGTTGTATTGCAGCATTGACGGCATGGACCAGGCCGCTGAAGTATTGAAGTCGACCAAAAAAACAAATGTTGTCAATATTGATTTTGAGAAATAGATGATGGTAAACTTGTGAATTTCTTGGGACTATTATTTTTGAGCACAAGTTCACCCAGAGGCAAAGTACAGAGTGCCGCGGCATTTTGCCAACCACAAGGGCTGGGAGCATTTGTGGAAGCCTTCCCTTCACAACTTGTGCCTGATCTTCCACGGCGTTTGTGAGTCTTCATCATCACAGATGGAGACCTCAAGAAGGACAGCAACCTTCAGTTGACCGCTTTGTGTCGGTTCCTGAGTTTCCTGAATGCTTAAGTCACTGCCCCGTTGCAGTGTGTTGTTGTCATGTGTGTTATGCCAAGTCGGTCGAACAAGCTTCTTGAAGATCTTTGACGAAACCCTTGCGTGATTCATTGTTCTATGAGGCCGCGGTTTGGACATCGTGGAGGAGATTTTAAAGCTCCGCGGTTTGACGCTCCCGACACACCTATCAATCCAACAGGATAATACATGCCGGGAAGGAAGGAACCAGCACATGCTGAACTGCTGTGCAACAATGGTGGCCAGAGGCCTGTTTCGGTCTTGCTCCCTATGCTTCTTCCGGGTGGGGCATACCCACAACCTAGTGGACCAGCGATTCCAGTGCGTGGCAGCGCTCCTGAATAGGATACAGGTCCTCCAGACTCCCGAGGACTCCACGATGTCCAAACCGCGGCCTCATAGAACAATCATGGAAGGGGGTTGTCAAAGATCTTCAAGAGCTGTTAGTCTGACATTGTTTCTTTAATGGTCATTCACATGCAGGACAACAGATACTTTTAGGGAGCACTTTTCGAAAGTAGATTGCAAATTGCAAGTAGAAAGAGTAGATTAAGCAGATTAAGCAGATTGCAAATTGACATTTTGTGTCACCTTTCCTTCCAGATCATTTTTGTTGTGGCAGGACTTTGCCCAGCAGATCCAGGAGAACCTCAAGCCACAGCAGAACCGGGTTGTGAGGGTGGAGGTGCTGCACGGCTCCTACAACTTCCAAGCATGGCATGCTCCACTGAGGCTGAACTTGGCAGGATTGACAATTACCGAGCACGACAAAGAAGTTAATCATTCCTTCCGAATCATTCAAAGAAGAGATCTTGAACGATATGGGACTGACTGGAAGATTGCTCAAGATGTGTGTGAAGGAACAGCAAGTGAACAGAGCCGAGATGCTATCCTGTTGGTGAAGCACCAAATGTCCAGCAAGGAGTTGTCGCAGTTGCCTGTCTTGCTCTTGCCAGCAGCGCGAGTCTCATTGCTTAGCCACCCTGCGCCAAATGAGCTGATGGACAGAAACCCGATAAGTGTTCAGACCGCCAAGAAGTACCAGCGCACAGCTGAAGCTGTGGCAGCCCCGCCATGGAACCTGACACGGGCTCGGGACTATCTGATGGACTTGTGCCGGCGCAACCGGGCTGGACTGCAGGTTGGTGGGTGGCTGGAGCCATTGCACTTCTTGGAATCAGCGCCTACCAGGCTGGCCACTCAAGAGAGCAGCATTGCTTTGGGCGAGGTTCCAGGTGACAAGGAGTGGCATGACTTTGCGCCTTTGGGCCCCAAGTTTGTGAAGGTGAGACTGGAGCCTGTCACCTCGGCCCATGATCGTGCTTCCAGCTCTTTGGTACCCATGGCTCTCCTGGATGACGATGCGTCGGATGCAGAGCCAAATCTGGGAAACCCTGGACAGAATCGCTCAGAGCCGGTGGAGTCAGGCGTGAACATGAAGAAGCCAAAGACCAAGCCCATGAAGCCAGAGATCCAACAGAAGTCGGAGCCAGCCGTCAAGCTTGATGCAACAGTGAAGGCTGAACCCGCCACTGTGAAGGCTGAGCCAAAAGCTGAACCGGCGCAAGCGAAGGCTGCAGCAAAAGCTGGCCCCCCCTGAGAGACCTGGAGCTCCTCTCAAGCGCCCTGCAGCATCAATGCCTGAGGCAAAAGCTGGTCCGCCTGAGAGACGTGGAGCTCCTCTAAAGCGCCCTGCAGCATCAATGCCTGCCGGTGCAGCCAAAGCCAAGGTGAAAGCGGCGCCAAAGCCCAAGGGCAAGCGTGTCAGCCCGTACCAGTGGCCTGCAAACCGCAACGGCTTGGGTTGCCCGAAGTGCAAAGGGAGGTGGGATGGCTGTGGCCAATGCCGAAACTTTTTGGCATCGGGAAAAGCTTACCCAACCAGGCGGGTGATTCACGATGACGATGATGCTGGAGTGGATGTGGACTGAATGCCAGATGGATGGAGTGTGTTTGAACAGTTTTGGGCAACTTTAGCATTGCCCCGTTGACAACGTTGTCAACCAATTTGTGCATCAATAAGTGCCTCAAGCGCAGCTAGCAATTGCAGCACGCTTTAGGACCTGTGCAGCATGCTTTAGGCATGCTTGTGGGAAGCCGGTCCGCCCAGTCTGTGCTGCAGGTTCTGCAGAGGTGTGACAATGGAAAATGACTTTTTGTTTTGGAGAAAGTGCCAGCTGAGTCCTGTGAGATGTTTTGCTCACAGCTTTTGAAATGTCTCCTGAAAGCCTGTGGGCAGGTTCTTCTTTGCTTGCCTCTCAGCGCGGCAATCTGAAATCTTGCATTGTTTTCGAAAGAATGTGATGAGTCAACCAGGTGAAGGTTGTGTATCTTGAAGACATGTTTTACAGTTTTGAGTTTTGAAGGACACTGTGACAGCGACCCATCAAATGCACATTTGCAGGAAATAGACAGATTTCACTGTTCTCTCTCTCTATTTAGTCATATCTATTATTAGTTATATATATTTTATATATTATGTACATTATATATATATACATCTTATATACATTATATACTGTTAGGGTGCTGAGACAGCGCTGATACACATAGGTGCTGGGACAGCACCAAAGAAAAATAAGTAGCAGGGTTTTAGGGCGCTGTGATAGCGCCCACAGATACTTGTGTTGTGTCTTAGCGTTGCCATTGGCCGTGCACTTAGCTTTTTTCTTTTCCACTGCGCGTGACATTTCTTATCCACAGCACAGGTTCCACTGCGATGATGTTGGGGAGATTTGCAGGACTGGCGCAGCAGCTTCTTCAATGCATTCATTTTTGAATTGCCCTGCTTCAATGTTTCTGATAAGCAGGGCCTGTGGGCATGGTTCCTGTTTCATTCGTTGCAGAATGTGTTTGCTGCCCGCGCGCTATCGACAGCGCATCAGGTCAGTAGCCCCATCGGTCAGTAGAGATAGAGATCAGAAGGAGCCATGTCCACCAACAAGATGGCCAATGTTGGTTTTGAGTTGCCTCCACCAGTGACCGATGACCAAGACATGGTCTTCAAGAAGCCGGCGAGCAGAAAAGGCATCAAAGAAAAGGTGCTGCGACAGCCCCAAGATGGGATGGTCAGCAAGATGAAGGTGAAACCGCAACCCAAAGAGGCCACCGAGAACATGAAGGTGAAGCAGCAGCGCACAGGGGTGGCAGCCGACGTGCAGCCCCAGAAGAAGGTGCAGCGACAGTCCAAACAACAGAGTGGGAAAGACACTCCAAGTGCACCATACTTGCCCAACTTCGTTGAGATGCTCCTGGACCCGCGGAGTGCCATTCTTCCTGCCAGTCCTCAGGACGATGTGATGGAGCTGTTTTCACAGCCACGATTGGTTCCCATTTGTCAGGAGATGGGACTGGTGGCTGAATTGTCCCTAGACCTCAAGACAGGTTGGGATTGCTCTCTTCCAGATATGAAAACTTTGGCTTTGAAAACGATTGACCAGAGGAAGCCATGGGTGATAATGCTCAGCCCACCATGCACTATGTATAGTGCTTTGCAGCGATCCAACAAGAATCGAGTGGACCCCTTGCAGGCTGCCTTTCGCCGTGAGGAGGCTGATGGCTTCATGGACTTCACCAAACAGGTTGCCGTGAAGCAAGCAGAGTCTGGAAGAGGATTCATTCTGGAGCACCCGGCTTCAGCTAGCAGTTGGCAAATTGATTGTGTCCAGGCAATGATGGCTTTGCCCAACGCCCAAGTTTCCAAGTTTGACCAGTGCCGATACGGGCTGCGCGGCCCAGGAGGATCGCTCATGAGGAAGGGCACAAAGCTCTTGAGCAACATCCCGCAAATCCAGGCTGAATTTCATGGCAAGGCATGCATGTGCCGACAGCGCGGGGAGACTCATGAGCAGATCCAAGGAAGTGTGAACGGTGTGCGCCGTTCTACTCATGCTCAAGTGTACCCAGATGGAATGGTGCGAGCGCTGGCTGGCTGCTGCCTTGAGTATGTGAGGCAGTGATTCCAAAAGCACTGCCGTTGAATTGCTGTGGCAGGATGCTTGAGCACCAAACGCACTGCATCACATTGACTTGTTGGGGTGCCAGTTCCTTGTTGGGGTGGAACAGCCACTCCAGGTCTCATAGTCGCTAGTGTGTGTTTGCTTCAAGTCCTGCCGTGCCACAGGCAGACGTTTAGCATAAACCTCTTTTAAGAAGCTTGTTGCTGTGGGCTTTTTGGGATAGTGGCAACTATGCATTCTATATATCTTGACAGAGCAGTTTGTTGTTGTTTGCACTTTGGTAGCATCGAGCTTTCCAAATCCAAGAGGTGTTCTCTGGGTTAGCTAGCACCAACCGACCTGTACAGAAGAACAGGGTTGTGTATTGGACAGCAAAGATAGTCGTCACTGCATGCTGGTTCATCTTTTTTGCTGTGGAACAGGTGGTATTGGTTTGTTTTCTGATTTCCGGATAATTCCTATCCAGGATGTGATTGGCTTCAAATTGGCAGGGTCCTCAGATTTGGCGCCGCAAGAGACTTTCAATGACCAAGCAGTTTGGATGTGACATCGCAACTCCAAAAAGACTTGAAATGTCAATGAACCTTGTGAAGGGGGCAGAAACATCTAAGGTCCAAACAGGAAGAAAAATATCATAAACCAAAACATATCTATTCAAACATCAATTTTCAAAAGATATCAAGTCATCTGAGGCCTTGTGTCACTTGGCCCAAATCTCAGAATTCCAAGCATCTCTGGTGTTTTCACCATGCGCATCCCTGTCTTTTGAAAAAAAATTTTTTTCTATAGATACTGGGGCCCACACCACTGATTCAAAGGATATGGCGCGCATGCTGAAGGGACCCAGTGTTATTTTGAATGCGCTCCATCTGCGCGGATATGTTTGGAAAAATTTTTTTTCCAAAGATACAGGGTGCCTGAATGAAAACAGGGTCAGTGCTTAGATTTTTGAGAAGCCAGCCATGGTTTGCCATTCAATTTGTTGAGATTATTCTGTGAGCTGTCAGCCAAATGCGTCCATATTTGTGGCAGCCATTTGAGCTAGAAACCTGTGTGCTCAGCCTTGCTGTGTGGGTATCAGATCTTGTTCGGCATTTGTGTCTACTATGCAGTCGCGGCGGCAGGTGGACATGCGACATTTTTTGGCGTGCCGGGGACAAGAGACCAATCCTGTCCCCTCAGAAGCTCCTGCGCCGTCTGAAGGTGGTGCTCCAGAGTCCAATCAATCCAATGATGTGGAAACTGCTTGGGGCCTTGAAAGTATGGAAATTGAGGAATTTTCTGAGGCAAAGTACGCCAAAGATCTGATGGATCTGCTGCAAAAGGCACACTCCAAGTATGGTGGCTTGGAGAAATTCTTTCAATTGCGGTTCCAGCAACAAACGGAATTGCAGAGCTTTGCTGATTACCTTAGCGGGTTCTGCCCATGTGGCAGTGGACATGAATACGCTGTGGGAAGGGATATGCCATCCATCAGCCCTGATGACATGGTTAACACAGAAACCCTCCGTATCCACCCAGCTTCATTTGCATTCTTGGACAGTGCGACAGTGCGCGGGCCAGCGGAGTCGGATGTTGTCATGAAGCTGGCGGAAGAGATCTTGAAGGATGGCCTAGTCACCGCTGGAGAGGCGTTGCTCTTGCCCCAGTCTGAGGCGCTCACCAAGGAGGTGCTGCAGCTCTATGGGCCTGACGCTGAGGTGCCAAGGAATTTTGTTTTTTAAGGAATCATTCCATGTGTGGTTTGGAATGTCACGTTTGGACAGGCATTGAGAGCTCCCTGGACGACTGCTTTTCAAGCTTCTTCCTTGGTCCCTTTTTCTTTGGGATTCTACAAGGGCCGAACCAGGGCTTTGACGGCGTTGTCCTTGGCTGTGCTGGCGCAAGATTCTGGATGGAACTTGCCTGAGGCCACACTGTGGGTCTCACTTTGTAAACCACATGCTTTGCAATGCCTATGTGTTGTTCATAACTTGTTGCTTGGTGTTGTCAGGTGGCACCAAAATTTGCTGCCAGCCTGGGCAACATCCGTGGTTACATTCTTTCCTTGCCCACCAAGCGGGAGGAGTTCCTTGGAAATTTCAAATTGTCAGTGCGTGGAAGCATCCGACGCGCTCCCAATGTGGTGTCTGAGACTCAGCTTGTTACCAATATTTCCCATCGTGTTTGAAACTGTTTGAAATATATTTGGGCTAAGATCTTGGGTTACCTCCATTTTCAAGCTCCGCCAGCATGAGCCTAATTTGGATGTAGCTGTGTTGGCGCTTGGGCTGCATTTGGTGCCTTGTGGTTGAATGATCTACAGGTGGAAGTCACATGTCAAAGCTGATGTCTCAATGTCCAACTGTTTTGAAGCCTGTTTGGACTTTCGCAGGTGCAGCAAAACAACAGCCGTTCAACCAGGGCTGGCCAACTGCTTGGCCAGAAAGCCCAATCAGTGAGAAATGTGATGGAATTTTATGACCCCAAAGCGCTGGAGTCCATCATTGCTTTCACTGTGGAAGTTGGAACTGAACAGACGCCATGGTCCGATGAGTCGCTGTCATCCAAGAAGTGTTTGCCTGGTTTCCAGCCACTAAGATGTACATATACAAACATTTGGCCAGGCGGCAGTAAGGTATGTGTGATTTCTAGTGATTGGGGGTGTTGTGAGATGGACTGCAACATAACATGAGCTGGGGGCGTCGTCATGTTTGCATCAGGTTCCGGAGCACTCATGGTGCCACATGGGCAGCGCGTGGCACTGTGACGCGCAAATCCAACCTGTTGATGGCGCCTAGGTCTCGATTCATTTTTCCCTGATGGTTTGGCATGGAAACATCAAGCCATTGTGCATCTGAGGTGCAGCATCAGATTGAATCTCACCGTCAGTTGGTTCCAGGGATGCGAAGGAAGCTTGAAAAGCAGCGGATGGAGCAGACGGCTCAATATGCCGCATTTGTGTCGGCAGTGGCAGACGAGGTCTTGGATCTCATTCCTGTGGATGGAGAGCTGCTTGAGAAGGAGTGGGTGAACAAATGGAGGATGGGGGAGCCAGGCGTTTGTCTGGAGGTTGAATCGGCTTTGTTGAACAAGCCCGTGTACACAGACCCTAGAGACATCCAATCGATCAGAAGCCTCATGCAGCAGCACTCGGCAAACGTGCCACTTCCATCGGTCCCAGCAGTTGCCATGGAGCAATTGCAAGCGGACACATTTGATATCAAAGTCCGCCAAATCCAATACGACCTCCAAGCCATTCGTGTGGCCAGGGCCAAACGGCAAACTTGGGAAAGTCAAGTGTACCATGCCAAATTGGAGTACAAGATGAAGATGTGGGAGCATTCTGAGAAAGCCGCAGCGCATTACTTGAAGAACCATTCCTTCATGACCTGCTTCAAGGCAGCTGACGACTTGAACAAGGCGCTCCAAGCCTACAAGACTGAAGTTGTCTCCCGTTTGAAGATTGATGTTGGGGCATTGGTCTGGCCCTCAGTGTCAAATTGTTTGCCTGTGTGCGTTTCAGTCAGTCAACTCTTTCTATGCTTTCACCCCTCTTTGTTGCAGGCGTCGGTGTGTTACTTGAATTGGACGGCCCCAAGCACAATCAAGAACCAGACCATGGCGGCCCAGACGTCAGCCACAAGTGCAATCTTGGGAGATTCGATGTACAACGTTGGCATTCTCCTTGAGCCTGTCTTCACCTACCAGAAGAACAGCTTGTGGATGTTGCAAAACTCCTGCCTCAAACGCTTGGCGGTGGCTGGATGCACGGTGGACAAAGGTTTCGTCCTGCAGTTCAAAGAGAAGGCTGGGCAATGTTTTTTGCCTTACTTTGGCTGTGGTGTTGATGCCTGCTTGGAGTGGCAAGTACTGCCTGATTGTGTTTGCCTGATCTTAATATATGTAACGTGTGGCTTTTTTGGTTGTAAATATATACGTATATATGAACAAATATACACGTAGGTTCATATTTGGCCCAACCACCCTGAGGTGGACAACAGAGACCATCTTCGCCCACTAGTCTATATGGGTCGCATCTTGGAGGGACAGATGGCACATATTCCTTTGAGAGAATGCATCTGGAAGTCAAGCATGCTGTTGAAGGAGGGCCGAACAACACCAGCGAGCCAGATTGCCACCAAAGAGATGTTGGCGCCCGACCTGACAGACAATGCCTTGCCTGGTGTTGCTGATGAAGGTGAAATTCAAGGGGGGCCGCCGGGTGGAACAGATTGGGCAAGCAGCTTGCGAGAAGCTGCTGGAATCCTTGTTGGACAATCTGGAGATGCCAGGCAGGGGCGCTGTCATTCTCTATGATCTCAACATGCGTGTGCCTGAGATGTTCATGGCGTATGTCGCCAAGAGAGAGAGCTACAACTTTTCAGTTCTGTATGCTGGGTGCTGTGACAACCCCACCACCTTCGAGTGGTTTCAGTCTTTTGCAACAGTTTCCTGGCTGGAAACATAGCTGTGTTGCTTTTTGTCCATGTGTGAAAGGCACAAACCATGTTGTAGCTGTTGTCAAGTGTGTTTTGATTGAGGAATGGCTTGCTCGTGGTCACATGGATGGCAAGGTTGTGATTCCAGGTCACCCGAGTACTGGTGGCGAGTGTCCACCAGACCTGCTGGAGCAAGAGCCGGCCCCGCCCAAATTGAATGTCGTCACTTTGTGTCGAGACCTGCACCCGAAAGTTCCTGAAGACTTGGTCAAGGAGAATGTCATGTCGATGTGTTTTTTTGTGTGTGCTGATTTTTTCCAAGTTAGCTTTGTCACAATATTTTGTGTGGCCTGATTGGGTTCAAATTGACCCCCGCAACCCTGCCATGTGCCATGCAAGGGGCAAGGGGGGTCGACAGGGTTGTGGGGGTCAGATTAATTTTGGGCGCCCCAAGTTGCTGAATGATGCCTTGACCTGTCTTCTTGGAGGAGTATGCCTGCCATGACAACTTCGGGGAACAGTTTCGCACCTTGCTAGATGAGATTCGTAATGAATTTGGCGAAGAGCCAGCAGAGACAGCAGAGCCCCCGCAGAACAAGGATGCCACGGAACGTGGAGTCAAACGGCCTCACTCGGGTCAGGGCGGCGCTGATGCCAAAAAGCCCAAGATTGAAGCCTCCAGGTTCACTCTCATTGCTGACCTTGGCATCGAGGAGGGCAAGCTTGTGGACATTCCCATGTTGAATGTGAAGCAGCAAGGAGTCTTCTTGCATGTGCGGGTTGGGCAGGTGATTTACATGTGCAACACCAGTGGTTCCGAGGTTGTGTTGAAGGCAGGCATGATCCTCGTGGGCTTTGGGCGTGGGGCTTTCAAAGGGTCCCAAAATGTTGGGAACACAGAGATGGACCCAGCAAAGGATGTGCTCTTCGATGTGAAATCAGGAACTGATTGGGTGCCTTGGTTGATGGTTTGCTTATGTTGTGGAATCTTTCTGTTATAGGCGTTTTCAATGTTCAGAAGGCTGCCAATGTTTGATTTGGGTCCTTTTGCCTCCAGGTGTTGCTGAACAACAAGATGCAGACCTTGCATTCTGTGGTGGAAGCACAGCGCGCCAAGGTGCCCAGCTGCAAGGTCTTGTATCACGAGATGGAGGCTGCCCCGCAAGAAAAGGTGCCTGGTATGTTCAATTGCGTCCGGCAGAGTGATGTGTGGTTCACACCAGCCAAAGACAGTCAAGAGGTGACGGACCCAGCTGATCCAGGTGCCAAGACCAATCAAGTTGGTGCTGCAAAGCTGTTGCCCAATACAGCCTGGCAGTCAGACCTCATGTCAATTGTGTACAGTGTCCGCTGGAGCCCAAAAGGGCTTATGCCAGTCCGACCGCAAGTGGTTTTGCTGAAAGATTTGACGCTGGCTGCTGGACAAGCCTGCAAGCTGACCAACTAGGTTCATTTTGAACTTCTCCACGCTTGGAAGATGTCTTTCAGGCAGATGTCCTTTGTCCTTTAAACCTGGACTTTGTGTTTGTTTAATTCCAATTAGTTTTGGAACCCTGCGAGAGCGTGCCCTACGCATGCATGTGGGTGCAGGGTTGTCGCCAAAATAGTTTGCAAAGCACTAGTTAGCAAAAGTTCGAGAGATCGCATTGCAATGTGCGAAGCACAGCTCCGAACAAAAGAGACAGTACTAGAGAGAGAGTGTCCAAAAAAAAGCACAGCTCCGATGTGTCAAAAACGATGCTTTAAAAACATTTTGATGTGCTGCAAAGATGTTCATCTATCTAAGTTTCTAGGTACATATATTATATATACTAAAGATGTCCAGAAGCAAGATGGAGTCCTAGGTTTTAACATAGACTTAAAGTGCTGCAAAAGCACTCAAGAAAGAATATGAAAGAATACAAATTCTTGCAGTGCTGCGATAGCACTAAGGCAAATATTTCTTTAGGGTGCTGTGACAGCACCGTCATTTGCCTGTGCGCATTATAACAAGGTAACACAGGACAGGTCACATGTTGCAATGGCTGAGGAGTCGGCGTCGTCTTCGCAATGGCTGGGCCCGGCCCTTGGTGGCTTGGCGGTTGTTCAAATTCTAAGAAAGAAAGGGGGGGTTCCACTCCCTGCCAAACAATGATCTTTTCTGTCTCTAGGTTGCAGCGCAGCTACTTTACAGGTGAAACAGGTGAAACTTCACATTGGGCCATCGCACTGCTTGCAGTGCGATCACTGTACATGTGACCATTCATGAGTTACGTTTGTTGCGTTTGGTTGTTGTCCCATAGACACCATAGATCTCTCCGAGTGTCTTTCTCAACTTGGCACTGCGGTCTAGTACATTCCCAACCTGTTGATCACTCAGCTGCCCGTACTTTGCGAAGGTCTTGGTGTCGTTGATGCGGGCCATTCTCATGGATATGGTGTCTGGAATGTCTGATGCCTTCAGATCGCTGATCATGCGGTGTCTTGCTGAATGTGTCCGGATTGTTCTTGTCACAGGTGGGTCCTTGCATTTTGGAGCAAAGGTTTCTCGTAGTCTGCCTATTGCTTTGCAGGCAGTATCCTTGGTCCTGCGGGCCTCTTTTGCATCTTGACGATCTGATGGAAACAAGTAGCCTGAAGGCTTTTCAGGCCAGGACCACGCATCTGTCCAGCTCACAAGTCCCCGCGCTCCTGCATTGCGCTGTCTTTTTCTTCGCACACCTTTGTGTTTCAAGCTGGTCAGTTTGGGTAGCAGCACTCGAAGTAGGCGCTTGTCCACTGCTTTAGCCCGCTTCATTGAAGATACGTGTACAGCCTTGTCTTTGATCGATATGTCCCGAGCGCGCAGGCGCAAGACTTCTGTTATTCGACAACAGAAAGCATGCGAGAGAAAGGTTGCTACATAGAGCCAGGTAGGGCCATGCTTGAGGATATGGTTTAACCATAGGCCCCACAAGGACCCTGGCAAGCTTGATGCTTGGCCTAAATGAAACTTGAGGCTTCCGTTTTGGTGGCCTCCCTCGCTTACGCTTAGCCATCGTCTGTTTCCCACTTGAGCCGTGCAATCTCTTTTAGACACAGTGTTATTTTTTGGAATTTTCTGTGTGGCAAAACCATGTCATTTGTGTGGTGGTGAGCCGGCAGTCCGCCTACTAGGCCCTTAGGCGGACTCCCAGGCCAAAACCCACAAAAAAAAAGCGCAGGGCAGCAACACTGCAAACTGAAACCTGATCAGTTTTGATGCTATCACAGCATCGTATGAACTAGTTAAAGGTGCTGCGCGCCATTCCTTGGTGCTTATTAAACATGTATCGTGTATGGTATCAGTGCTCGCGCAGCACCTTCAATATCAGTTGCAGCCCTTGCTGCGGCTATGAGACCTGAACTGTATCCGTGCTGTCACAGCACCCTACAAACATGTACAGGATATTGTACAGGCGCTTTCACAGCGCCTTACTGATTACAATTGCTGTATTGCGCGCCATCACAGCACTGCCAAGTCTTATAGATTCGCACGCGTGCTGTCACAGCAATCTATTTACTTTGCTTCAACCATGGGTCAGGGAAGCAAAGTAAAAACGTTGGCAGCCCAATGTTAAGAAACCAAATCTTCAGCACCTGTGACATTTGCAGTCCACTCAAGTACATGAGCAATAAAATGAAATGCTTCGACAGCACCCTGGGATGCATTGAGCCTGTATAAAAACATATATATATTATATAAACAATAAATATTGCGCTTGAAATTGAAAAGGCGCCACGAACTGTTTTAGGCTCTTGTTGACAACTTGTGTCATTATCCTTGCCAATTTTGGACTTTGCTTGGCCAAGGGGCAGGATGCAAGATATATTGACCCTAATCAGTGTTGAACTGGGGTCTAATTTTAGACCCCGGTTTTTGCCAAGCAAAATTGAAAATTGGCAGTTCTCCCTTGAACCTAAAAAGGCTCGGTGAATCAGTGCACAAACTCGCCAGGACAAGCTACCTCTAATGTCTACAGTGCTGCGAAGCACCTACACAAACACACGCATCTCAGTCACTTTTCATATTTCTTTTATGCGATGAAAAAAGACATAAACCGACATATACAGTATATACATTGGTCATGGTCTTCATACTAAGCACAGATCATGGCAACTGCTTCTAAGGTGGTGTGCCTTGCTCAGGCTTTCACTCAAAGCCGGTGGCCCCAGAATCAGTTTGCAGCCTTGCTTGGCCGGGTCATTTGGTGGTGGCTTCTTGAGTCTACAATCAAGAATTCAAGGCATGTCAACTGTGCAGCGCATGAGCATTGGCCTCTGTATATTTGTCTACCACTGTGCATGTCACTTGCAAATACTGCAGCGCAAAACAGGGCACACAGGTTCCTTTGTTTGAAGCACATGGGCAGTATGCCACAGATTCCCAGTATGCAACATTAAATTAGCCAACGCCAACCGGCAAATAAATGAATAGACGCATGGTTCAACAAACGCATACACACACACACTGAGAAGCACACGCAGACAACATGCAAGCACCCGAAACAAGGCCACAGCCTCTGTCATGCCTGGCGCATCAGAGCCCAGAGCCCATGGCAGCTCGACTCTTCAGAAAGAAATAAGGGACACAAGGAAGCGTAAGGCGTCTTCCGGCAGTGAGAAGGCAGAAGGAAACCAGCAAAGTCAGAAGGCAAAGGATCTTCCAGTGGAGAAGGCAGAAGGAAAGAAAGAGAGCTGCACCGAGAAAATGAAAGACAAGGACAAAGACGTGTCAATCATGATAGAGGAGGACCAGGAGAGGACCAAGACGCAGAAGGAGAAGGAAGTGCCAAAATTGAGGAAACATGGAGAGCAGGATGAACCAAAGAAGGAAGAAGATGCCCAGAAACTGAAGAATAAGCAGAAATCTAAAAGTGA